CTAAATAAGTGACAACGGCGGATGAGGTTCGAGTTAAGAAAAAAAAAAAAAAAACAAAGTAAGGTATAGCAGGAATGAAAACAGTAAATACGGGATTGACTATTTAAAGCGGAAACTTACTGCAGTGGCAAGTTTGCTTGTCTTTCGGGTGGCCAGTACGCTGGTTCGGATTGTTCGTCGAGATACCACTGTTCGAGATGTTGCCAAAAGGAGCCGAATGCCGTCCCTTCGTCATTGGTTTGTGCGAAAGAAGTTGCCGCTGTCGGTGCGTCTCGATCCAGCATGTTTCGCAGAGGTACAGAAGACAACAGACCTCTGGGCATAAATACCGAGTGCTTCTTCCATTACAACATTCGCATGGAACAGAATCAAGCAAATACGGCTTGATTTCCATCTATAAATTCTTTTTTTTTTTTAAAAAAAAAAGGATACATGGATGTGTCGCCAGTTGCACAACTACAGAACCTAAGTATTTCAAGTACCTCAGCATCAGTATAGTGGGCATAGTATAAAAGTAAAAAATGCCTATTTCCAAACTCAAACCAAAATTTCGAACGAACCTCTCAATCTCATAACAATTTTTCGGCTTAAATTAATGAGAAAATGATATTGACGCGCATTACAATTCAAAAAGCTACCGATTTCGGTCTGCTTAACGTAAGCAACTTTTTAAACAAAAAATTATTAGCCTTTTTGCATGACGTTACTAACTGAACTACCTTTATCGTCTGCCTTCGAATTTTCCTTCCATTTCATGAAAAATAAGACCTTTCAACTAAAATTTCTGACCATCCTGTTTAAAAATCCCCCATAATCAGCGCTATTCTCATGCTTCTCACTTTAGAGGGATTCGGGGGAAGTCATAATTTCATTTTCCGGTGAAGAATTTATAAGGGTTCTAAAAGGAAATTATTCACCTCCTTTTCTTTATCGATGCTAGGGAACACAATACGATGTGTTGCAATCGCAGTTATGTATGATTCGCGGTTACTGAAAACAACTTGGGCTGCGCCTTTCGGGTATTTTGTATCTGCTTCTACTTCCACTGATACAATTGAAACATTGCCAATTGCGCGATCGAACAACGCTGCGAGCTCCTCTGCAAATCAAACAATGCTTTTGAGCTACTACTCACTTAATGCAAAAAAAAACAACTGATTTCGTATTCAAACCTCTATGTCGGCAAAGTAGCCAAGCATGGCTCAGGGAATGGCAGTGTCCGGGATGAGTGACGACTTCAAATACAAACATTCCACGAAGATTTCGAGACGCCTAAAGCCTCCTCAAGCTAGCTTCCCCCTCCCCCGCTTCCCTCCCAAAGATGAATCTGACATTAAGAGCAACCTACGCTTCTCTGCAACTGAATTATTACGATATGCGGCAGCATCTGCAGAGAAATGCCGTTTAAGCGAAAAGGCCTACTTTGCTCCTCATTATCAAAACAAAATAATGCGAACATGCCCAACCGTTTTTCAGAGAAATAAAAATCAAGGGACATGTTGGGCAATAAAGGAATAAATTTTTTTTACTGATGTGCTAAGTACCGTCAAAAATAGTTAAACAGTAGGCTGGTATTCATTCACTGCAATGAGTTACTTGAACCGGAAGTCCTAGAAAAAGCATTAGTAAGAAAACTAACGTGCTCGGGCTGTGCGCGGAACACCACCAACAAACACTGAATAGCGCTCCGAAATGGCGAGAATGTCCTTGCTGATGTAAAATCGGTCGCTCAGAAGCCATGGTTTAATCTGAACCTGAAATAATCAAACCGAATCAGTCTGTTTTGTACTAAAAAATGAGCAAACATCACAAATACAAAAGTAGTTCGAATGGCGGCAAACACCACAAATACTAAAAAAAAAAAAAAAACAACACCCGTCCATTGGTTAAGATATCAATAGCCCTTTTTTGAGGGTTTTTTTTTTCAAAAAGTTGATGGCGAGTCTGACTTCCTAGCATGCGCCAGCACCATCCCACGCAGTGAAGCGTAATTTCGTATCAAAATCGCTGAGCTGACAATCCCCTTCGAAGGCCAAAGAACCACCTAGTATTGCCAGCATGATGTTCAACGGAAGATACAGCACTGGTCAAAGCTATTCGATTGCCGACTACACAGATGGAGGGAACTAAATTATGAACTGCAGCTAAATTAATACTAACCGATTTGATGACATTTTGTCCGTCTTTCAGCTGAATACTGAGTCGATCATTCTTCAAAGTGCATTGATTCACTAGCTCACAGACGGAATGTTCGTTCGTAAAAATCGCAAACGCATATCCTGCGAATTGTTCGAACTTACACTTCAGTACGAAATGCAAAAGACATTTCCTCCTTTCGAAACCCTCATTATTTAGAAAAGACTCATTCAAATTCAAGCTAATTCAGGAAACGAAAGTGGTTAGGGACTCAGAAAAGTTAACATTAATCTCAAAAAAAAAAAAAAAAAACATTTTGGAGGACTAAAGATGAAGATCCGAGCAATCGATGTGGAGACTTCACGCTGTTGATGTTACTAGGGCACCATTTTGACATGGAAAGCTCATCTACTCCCAAAACCCGAAAAAAATAACTAAATAAATAGAAAAATAAACTGATAAAAAAGCAGCAGTAAACAGACCGTTTGGTGGGTAGAGATCCATGTCACCCCTGCGATACGGCCAGTCGATTTTGTTCTCTCCAAACTGCGCAAAGAATGACGTAAGGACGTCTGAAAACATAAAATTAGCAATGCTTTCCATGTTACAACAGTTGAGTGCTTGCAGAAAATGTTCACATGTGACGCAAGATTTCCAGCTGATAATTTTGAGATGACCCACTCGCTTGTTTCTGCATATTTTCACGATGTTACGAACAGGGTCATTTTGTCTGACACAGTTTGCGAAAAACGGAAGTGGGCCTCACAGAAAATGTATTGTTGGAGTGGGAATTTGCAAGTATTTGTAAGCATTTTTATAAAAAAATCTGTAAGAGATGTCTTTCAAAAAGTGAAAAACTCACTAATGCTGATAAATGGTGGAAGTCCACCAATGAATACTTTGCGCGAAAAGAGAATTTTTCCGAAGCAATCCTGCTGGCCTACACTCCAAATATTTTGTCCCTGCGTCGCAATCACTAAAAAAATATTAATTTTAGGATATGCTAAATGTAAATTAATACCTCTCCGGCTATGTTAGTGATCAATAAAAGAGAGCAAAAAAACACCAGTTTGCCAAAGCAAACAGCGATCCGGACTCGCTGGATTTACGTGGTAGAGAAAAAAGACTGTATGGCAAAAATTTCATACCGTCGGAATTCAAAGCCACGGGGTAGTCGATAGCAAAAAGATTGTTTTCTGTCGCATCAAAACGCTCACGAGCATCTGAAATGTAACAGAAGTTACTAGAAGAAGATGAATTTTTATATGGAATTGAAAACTGATAGATGAGAGCAGCACATCCTCTGGGAAATGTCACTGGCCCACCGACTGGGGAATATTAGCTACCACTTGGGTTACTTGCGTTTGCTTGCGCCTCTTCGTATTGATTCTAAAAAGCGTCTTGACTTTTGTGCAGATGCACATGTACATGGGCGAATCCAGGGAGGCTTCCTGGAGGGCGGAGAGGAGTGCGAGTGGTGGAAAAGGTCTATTGGTACGGCGATGCGCAAAGGGATGGGACCCTTGGAGGAGGGGGGACGATGGGAGTTGCGGAAGAGAGTTCCCTTCAGTTTTAGCTCTAAAACTGGACTTCTGTAGCACTGGCGCCTGTGCCGTTAGGGTGAAAGACTCATCCCCCTTCCCCTCACCTGGATTCACTCATGTACATGCAATACATAAGAACACACACGTGCAGTAACACTGAAGGTTCTAAGCTATCGCCCCGACAGTATCGGTGATTTTGCACATACACTTACACGGACAGAAACTTACACGCACACATACATTTACTGACACACACACACACACACGTACATATCCACATACATATATATTTGCACAAATACACATATGCATACACATACGCACATACATACATACATACATACCTACATACATACACACATGCTCTCGCTATGATGCTCTTTTTTTTTTGGTTAATAAAAAACGTAAAATAAAAATTCA